CAAAGATGACGTTTCTATTCCCAAGAATTCAACTCCCACCTTTTTCACTCCTCCAATTTGCCACAGACGAAGCGATTCTAGTGATGGCAATTTCCCCAAAGGAGGCAACTGTTCAACGTTGACACAATTATAGAGCCCAAAGAACTTCAGCTTGGTTAGAGACACTATCCAACTGGGCCAAACCCCTAAGGATGGGGTTGGGCAATTGTAGCTACATATTTCTAACCTTTCCAAGCCTAAAGGCGGTTCTAAGGCTTCAAGAACAAGACCAGATACTTCAGAACCTCCACTTTTATCATTGTAAGTCAAACCAATAGTTAGAGTCAAAGTAGTGAGCCCTTTCTTATTTCGTAACTGTGCCTTCTCAGCCTCTCTCTCATCTCTGACATTTCTCAATCCTCTTATCACAAGATCCCCTCGAAGGTGAATCAAGTTTCCCAATTCACTAAGAGCAGCTCCTTTACCACCACTGTCCACCACGAACTCACTTAATGTTCGCAAACAAGTCAATTTCTCCATTCCTTTAGGCATGAATTCCACACAATCTGTATCCCCATTCCGAAGATGCCACAAATTTATCAGATTCCCCATTCTACAAGGCAGACTTCTAAGCCGGGCACATCCACTAATGTCTAGTATAAGCAAATTATATAAATCACAAACTGCATCAGGCAATTCCTTTAGAAGCCCATTATTTGACAAGTCAAGAGACCTTAAATGTATCAAATTCCCTATCTGTTTTGGACATTTATTAATTCTTCTAGAATGGCATTTCAATATTCTCAGACATTTAAGCTTATCAAACAATTTCAATAAATCTCCATTATACTCGCCAACTAAAGCAGAATCAACTAGCAAAGTGTGCAAGTTTTCAGCTTCATATATACGAGAAAGACATTCATCACGATCATATGGAATCATCAACATCACATGACGAGCACTTCCATTAAAACCTTCAATGCTATCACTGCTTCCTGCGTCCATTGACAAACACTCACCTCTTGTCAAAAACTGAGCAAAATCATGCACTATGTCATGCATTTTGCAACTGATAATGTCACCATTTTCATCCTTTACAAAATCTTGAAAAAAAGAACGCATTGACAAGTCATTGAAGTAGTCTTCCCCTACAACCTCCATATCTCGATGTCTGGTCCCCTTAAGGAAACCTAGTGCCATCCATAACTCAATTAACTTACTTTTTTCTATCACATAATCTTTTGGAAAGACTGCACAATATGAGAAACATTGCCTCAAGTGTGATGGTAAATCAAAATAGCTAAACATTAAGGGGCGAAAAAGACCTTCCTCAGCCACTTCAAGTTCCCATATTTCACTGTCTAAGACACTCTGCCATTCTTTTCTGGTTTTTTTCAAGAGCATGAGACCACCCATTGTCTTTAGAGCAAGTGGTAAGCCCTTGCATTTTCCTGCTATTTTCCTACCAATTTCTCTCAAATTTTCATGATCTTCATTGGATCTCCCCAAAAATGCTATTTGACAAAACAATAACCAACTTTCTTCTTCAGACAACTGCTCCACTGGGAACAAGGTAGTGCAACCCATTGTTCTTGCTACAGTCTCCTTACGTGTGGTCACTAAGATTTTGCTTCCTAGTGAGCCAGAACTCAACGAGTCTCTCAATAAACCCCACCTTTCATAGTGTTCAGTCCACACATCATCTAGGACAAGTAGGAATTTCTTATCCTTGACTGAGTCTCTAAGGAGTTTTAATACATCCTCCAATTCAACCAAATTTTGCACAGCATCCTCCTCACCAAGAGATGTAAGAATTGCTTTGGCAATCCTCATCACATCAAAAGGATCAGAGACACACACCCATATCCTCTTCTCAAAATGAGATTCTACTTTCTCATTATTGAAGGCTACTTTGGAAAGAGTAGTTTTACCAATCCCCCCAACACCTACTATAGAGATCACGTCAATTCTACCCTCATTCAATAACATATCTACAATCCTCTTCTTATCCATAACTCTACCACACACTTCTGCTAAATTTACAAGAGAAGTAGTTTGCTCTTGTCTAATTGGGTTTTCAACACTTAATTCCTTAAGACCATACTTTTCTCTCTCATTTGCAATAACATCTAACCTCCCATTCAACTCCAATATCTTGTGTGCAGTTTTGTGAAGCAATTTCCCTCTGTTGAAA